TACTCAGTTTTATGTGATGTTGTGGGCCAAAGCCAGGGCTTTGTACTTGGGAGCTGAGCTATGCCTCCAGTGTCATCACAAAAGCCACAGCTCTTACCTCAAAGGGAATAAGAGATGGTTTATTCTGGAGTAAAAACTATGGGTGACCATGACCCAGGAACACAGAGCTGGGCTACCCCTCAGATAGACTGTGCCTGCCTTAGTTCATTGTTCTTCCCTAGTCAACTTTACCTGTCATGGAATGTACTTTCCATCAAGTGTACTCTGTCTTAGGATGGCAGCTAGCAAGAAGAACTTTACTCATCCCTGACTACTAGCCTCTGGCAGGGGAAAGTACAGAGCTTAACTCAGCTCTGACTCAGGTCCCTACTAAGGGCTTGCAAGTAGTTGGAACAGCCACAGAAATCCCTAGGGCTGCCACACCCCCCTGTAAAGGAGTAGAGGATGACCAAGATGGAATGTCCTTTTTGAATGGGTCTAAGATGTCTATAACAGCCTTAGCTGTGCCAAACTTTTTTAAATCACTAAACTCTTGATGCAAACACATCAAATAAATGAATAAACTCCTGATGCAAGTGCATCAAATTTAAAGACTTCCTTAGCTTCACCAAACCATGGTTCATTAATATCAATAGGTTAACATAATTCTAGTATGAATATTACTATATATATTTACAATTCTTACAAACTTACATTTAAGAGCAAACTCTCTATAGGACTACTTACACTTTACAAACCCAGCAAACATCTAAAAGAGATCTCTTAACATAACTATTTACATTTTCTTCCAACAAGGCAGAGGGTACATGAATTGTGAGTCACCATAGTTAAAATTGTAGGTGAACTCAAAACGGTTTCATTTCTGAAGTTTGAAGTCCAAAGTCAATTTTGTTACCAGTTTTAAAGTTCCCCTGAAAAATTTTAATCAGAGCCTAATTTGTCAGCTGCTCTGGAGTCTTTGTATCTGGCTCCCTCAGCCATGGGATTTGGTGAGTGCTGTTGCCAGGGGGCTGTAATACTCAGGGCAATGCCATACCCCCAAGCCACCTTCCCTGCCAGGCCCTCCCAGCCATCCTAGAGCCAGTTGCAGCACACCACCATGGTGGTAGTGTGCCCATCGGTGGCCAGTTGCCAGCCGGGGGAGTGGTGATCCCTTTACCCAAATTTGTTCTAGCTCCCCTGAATGCAACAATTCAACTCAGTTTAGACAAGCATTGCTGAAACTTTACTCTCAGTTACAGCAGCATTTTATGACAGTCTTTCCAAAGGAACCTTGCCTCAGGGTGAAGGTGGTTGTCAAGGTAACTGAGCTGCCTTTCTGCTCAGCTAGCAGGAATTGGGAACCTGTCTCTTAAAGGAGCCATGCATTGGTTTGCTGCTAGTAACCAGAAGAGGTGTGGCTCCAGGCTCATTCCAGCTTTTACAGTCTCAGTCCTTGAATACCAAATAGCAACAAAACCTTTGTTCTAAACTTGTCCTTAGCAGTCTGAGGGGGCCTCCTTAGTCTCCTTCTTTCCTCAGACTGCATGATGGAACATCAGTGTCAGGAATACCAGTTCAGCTGCTCTCACTCCAAATCCTCTGGGGGAATGTCAGCAGCTATGGTGTCATCAGGGCTGACATTCCTCTGTTGCATGCACAGACCAAGTGCTCAGGCAGCCATTGAACTTTCATTTCATCTTGTGAAAATATACAAACATGTCCTTAACCCCATATTAAGACAGGGTCAGGACCCTTCCATAATTCTGAGCAAGGATCTTTCCATTTTACCTGAGTAAAAGTCACTTGGGAGCCATCATGTTAAAATCTATCTGTGGCAGATTGCTCATGAACATCCACATTCAAGAAATTCAGAAGAAAAAGAGTATGATTCAATGCATTATGTGGTGATTGAGGGTACAGTTCCTCCTCTAATTTTTTGAAGCTGCATCTTGAGACTGCCATAGGCTCTTTCTACTATGCCTTGTCCTTGAGCATTATAAGGAATGCCTGTTTTGTGCTCAATTTGCCATTGGGAACAAAGTTGCTGAAATGCTTTATTACTATTATCCAGAACCATTATCAGTTTTGATAATTTTTGGTATCCCCATATAGGAGAAACATTTCAGGCAAATAGCAATTACATATTTCGTAGCTTCTACATATTGCGCACTAGCCATTAAAAATCCTAAGTGTCGATGGTTACATGTACATATTTTAACTTGCCAAATGAGTGACATCCATTTGCCATGAATGATTAGGAAGAAGACCTCCAGGGTTTACACCAAGTGAGGTACAGGAAAATACTTTGGACATACCCTACGTTGTTTAACTATCTGTCAAGCAACATCCTTGGTAAGATTGCTTTCTTAGACTTTTGCTATTTTGATCATGAAAAGCATGTGACTATTGAGCTAATTCTACTTGGGATAAAGCAGTCATCCATGGTAATTTGTCAGCTGTTGCACTACCATCAGCTAAAGGACCAGGAAGATTGGAATGAGCTCTAATGTGGCCCACAAAGCATGGTAGCTTTCTTTAGTGAATAGCATCTTGAATTTGTTGAAACAGCATTCTAACTTGACTGTTACTAGTCCTAATACATGGAACAGTTTCTAACTTGAAGAGCTCTATAAATGTATTGACTCTCTGTATATAAATTAAATGAACTGTCTACAAGAAACTGAAAAACCATATTTACCACCTGTAATTCCACTATCTGTGTGGAAACTGGGGTTGTTTGTACTATGTAGCTTTTTCCATTGATAACATAAGCAGCCCTCCCATTGGAAGAACCATCAGTAAAAACTGGCATAGCATCTCTTATGGGAATCTTTCATCACAATCTTAGGAAATATAAATTAATGCATTTGAGCAAATTGTAACAATTGATCAGCTGGAAACTGATTATCAATTTGACCTAGAAATTGAGAAAAGGCAATTGCCCAAGAATCATTATTTTGAAAAAGCCAATCAATTTTCTGTTTTGTAAAAGAAACACTGATTGAAGGGAAACGGGGCTGGCTAAAGAAACCCACCCTGACCCTGGAGCCCAGAACTAGGGAAAGATGGTTCAGATCTGGGCAGAAAGAAACATAGTTTGGCTCAGTCAGATCAGAGCCATCTCTGCCCCTGGCCAACTGACTTGTGAAACCAACGAATCACAGAGCAGGACAGTAGAACCCTGAGCCCCAAGTTAACCACTGGTTGACTCCACCCCTAAGACTTCTTGTTTAAACCGCCCTGTCTGATCAGTTAGGAAAAAAGATTGTTCTCTCCACCCTGGTAGAGGCAGCTACTCTTCTGGACTCCTCCTTCCCAAATAAATCTCTTTCTCAAAAGAGTTTTGGGTGTGAAGATCTTCATTCACTGGCGTAGAGAAGATCTTTGCTGAGATGTCCCTCAGTGGACAGAGCAAGAGAGAGCTGAAAAGTAACACTTTCCTCCGGAGCCTGAGGAGATTGCTACATTTCTGCAGGGGTTTGCCCTTTCACAGAGTGAAGCAAAAGAAGCAACATCTTAGGCCAGAGAAGCAGAGCTCTGCTAGGAAGCCCCCTTAAGTGGGGGCTGAGCAAAGCTCAGCTGTAGCAGCTCGCCAGGAGAGGAGCAGGACTGCTATATCCTGTGGTCCTGTGGGGAGACCATCCCCCATCACACCAGGTATACCTTGACTTTCCCAAACAGTCAGGATACCCTCCCTGCTGAAGCAGTTCCAGGCGTGACTTTCTGGAGAAGTCAGAAAAATTTCCCTTCCAGGGTTGGACTGCTTCTTTGCAGTTCCAGCAGTCAGAGCTGTGCTAAATAGCTCCAGGTGTCTGGGACACCTTCAGGGCAGAGCTGTTGTTCTGAACAGCTTGAGGTGTCTGGGATACCTCACCCTCCAGGGCTGAACTGTCTCCTTGCAGCTGTCCTAAGCAGCTCAAGGTGTTGCCTAACTCCCCAGGTAGTCAGGACACCTTTCCCCAGAGTTGCAAAACTCACGTTTTGGTGCCAAAATCTGGGACCAAACCCAGAGTTGTTGCAACCAATTTACTTACATTGTTGGTGCCGAAACTGGGGACCAAACCCACAGAGTTGCAACCAATTTTCTTACACTGATCACACTTGGTTCTTTACCAAAATAATGTCTAGATTCAATTCTGCTGTTCTATTCCAAACAAGCTACAATTTCATAATATGGATTTAATGCCTTAGCTGGTGAAATAGGAAGATGTAACCATAAAGGATGATTGTTTTGCCATAATGCTGCTGTAGGAATATGTCTAGTGGGCAAGATATATGCGTGCCAAGGTAGATCACAAATAATATAACATACTTGTTGATATTGAATAGCATTCTCAACTTGCAAAATAACCTGTCTACCCTTTTCAGTTAGCTTTCTAGGCAAATTAGGATCACCATCTCCTTTTTTTTTTTTTTAAAGATTTATTTATTTATTATGTATACAGCATGTATGTCTGCAGGCCAGAAGAGGGCACCAGATCTCATTACAGATGGTTGTGAGCCACCATGTGGTTGCTGGGAATTGAACTCAGGACCTCTGGAAGAGAAGTCAGTGCTCTTAACCTCCGAGCCATCTCTCTAGCCCCCCCCCCCATCTCCTTTTAATATCACTTAAAGGTTCCAAATCACTGGTAGATAATTTTAAATAAGGTCTAAACCATTGACTGTCCCCTAATGACTTTTGAAAATCATTTAAAGCTTTTAACCCAACTTTTCTTATTTCCAATTTTTGAGGTTTTAGTTCCTTAGGGTATAATACATATGCTAGATACTGAAAAGATGGCTGTCTTTGCACTTTCTCTGAAGTGATAATTAACCCTGCATGAGTAAGACAGTGCTGAAGCTGTCCAAAGGTGTGAAGCAAAATTTCTTCATCTTTATATGCAAGCAAAATATCATCCATACAATGAATAATATAAACTTGCTGAAATTGCTCTCTAACTTTTTGGATCACTTGAGCCACAGATTTTTGACACAATGTTGGGCTATTGACCATTCCCTGGGACAAAAATTTCCAG